GTGAATTAAATGGCTTATAATTTAATATATATATACTACCTAGATATTATTTACTTTAGTTTACACAAAGAACTAAAAATAAATATTTGCTTGCGTTGGTTTTCGACCTAGTGTATTAGTTGTAATTCAAATATCCTAATCYTTGGTTTTTATTTCAAACTTTTTAAATACAATTATTATGATTCTTTATTAGGTACATMTTTTTATATTATTATTGTTAGATTAATATAATATTTATGTATTTGTTTTTATATTTTTTAGAAATTTGGATGGAATTATAGCTGTGATACTCCCCCCAAAATCAAGATTTTGTGTAATTCAAATTTACCTGCAACAGTCTACCATAATACACCTATAGTGGTGTCTCATATTAAAATATCCAGTTTGCCGTTGGATACTAGGGAGGAAGAGACATATTCGTCCCCGCAGGTGACACGTAAAGACACGACGGACGTCTACGCAGAACGCGGGGGTGCTTCTCGTGTCTTCGGAGGAAGGGACGACGCCCGTTCCGAATCCAATCAGCAACCGCGTTGGATACCTCCCTCGATAATCAGACGCGATGCACTCGCCCAAGAGGATGCTAATGATGCCGTGTTTCGCAAGGTGCGCGGCATTCTTAATAAGCTTACGCCTGATAAATTTCAAAAACTGAGTGATGATATTTTGCAAATTGGCTTAAACACCAGTGTTGTACTGAAAGGTGTCATATTTTTGATTTTTGAAAAAGCTCTCGATGAACCTAAGTATAGTTCTATGTATGCACAGCTGTGCAAACGGCTCAGCGACGAGGCATCAAACTTCTTAATTGACCAAGATCCAAACACTTTTCGCGAATTATTATTAAAAAGGTGTAAGGTCGAGTTTGATAACCGTTCAAAAGCAACTGCTGAGTTTGACAATGACAATGGAACACCATTATCTCCAGAAGATGAAGAACGACGACAGGTAAGATAAATTTATAGTATTTATTTTTTTATGTAATTTATGTTTCATTTTAAAATTCCCTTACATATTTAATATATTTTACCTATTTTACATTCATTTATTAGGTGGCTAAGCGCAAGATGTTGGGCAACATACGCTTCATCGGCGAACTTGGCAAGTTGGAGATCGTGGCGGAACAAATATTGCACTTGTGCATTCAACAGTTATTCCCGAGGAAGTCCAATGTCAAGGACGCGGCGGAKGACCTCGAATGCTTGTGTCAGATAATGAAAACATGTGGTCGCATATTGGACACGGAAAAAGCAAAACCACTGATGAATCAGTATTTTGATAGAATTGCTCAGTATGCTGAAAATCCTGAACTGCCATTGAGAATCAAATTTATGTTGTTGGACACCATGCAATTGAGAAAGGACAACTGGGTACCAAGAAAAGCTACTACCACAGAAGGTCCAATGCTCATGGATCAGGTTTGTTTTTATGTTATAGCTTTTTTCTTTAATAGGTACCCAATTTCTGTTGAATTAAACAATGAATGTTATTGAATATTCGTTATTCTATCTTATTTTCGCTAAATCCAACAATTGTGCCTCACTGAGAAGTCAAACTGACCATACTTATATAATTTGAAATAACCTTACACACAATTGAATAGTTTTCCTTTATACATTTGGTTGAAAAATTRTTCTATATAACTTCTAAAATTTAAAAAAATTAATTCCTAAGTTCACAAAAGTCAAATTGTTTCATTTATTACAAGAACAAACAGTTAATGTTTATTTTTATGAATAAATAATTAATATGATAGATTTTATTTATTTCATATT